GGACTGTGTGAGAGTGATGGTCACCCAGGGGTCTGTGTGAGAGTGATGGTCACCCAGCGGTCTGTGTGAGAGTGATGGTCACCCAGGGGTCTGTGTGAAAGTGGTGGTCACCCAGGGGACTGTGGTCACCCCCAGGGGTCTGTGTGAGAGTGATGGTCACCCAGGGGTCTGTGTGAGAGTGGTGGTCACCCAGGGGTCTGTGTGTGAGTGATGGTCACCCAGGGGACTGTGTGAGAGTGATGGTCACCCAGGGGTCTGTGTGTGAGTGGTGGTCACCCAGGGGTCTGTGTGTGAGTGATGGTCACCCAGGGGACTGTGTGAGAGTGATGGTCACCCAGGGGTCTGTGTGAGAGTGGTGGTCACCCAGGGGTCTGTGTGAGAGTGGTGGTCACCCAGGGGTCTGTGTGAGAGTGGTGGTCACCCAGGGGTCTGTGTGAGAGTGGTGGTCACCCAGGGGTCTGTGTGAGAGTGGTGGTCACCCAGGGACTCTGTGAGAGAGGTGGTCACCCAGGGGTCTGTGTGAGAGTGGTGGTCACCCAGGGGTCTGTGTGAGAGTGGTGGTCACCCAGGGGACTGTGTGAGAGTGGTGGTCACCCAGGGGACTGTGTGAGTGGTGGTCACCCAGGGAACTGTGTGAGTGATGGTCACCCAGGGGACTGTGTGAGAGTGGTGGTCACCCAGGGGACTGTGTGAGAGTGGTGGTCACCCAGGGGACTGTGTGAGAGTGATGGTCACCCAGGGGTCTGTGTGAGAATGGTGGTGTATCTCACTCGTCACTAGAGATCAGATTACCAACTTGACCTTGACTCTCATTATCTCCATTATCTCCCTTCCACCCATTCCCCTGGGGGGTCCACTTGGCTAGGCTCCCTCCTCAAATCCAAGCTCTTAGTCTGTCCTTATATCCCAGCTCTTATAGTCTGTCCTCATATCCCAGCTCTTAGTCTGTCCTTATATCCCAGCTCTAAGTCTGTCCTCATATCCCAGCTCTAAGTCTGTCCTCATATCTCAGCTCTAAGTCTGTCCTCATATCTCAGCTCTAAGTCTGTCCTCATATCTCAGCTCTAAGTCTGTCCTCATATCTCAGCTTTAAGTCTGTCCTCATATCTCAGCTCTAAGTCTGTCCTCATATCTCAGCTCTAAGTCTATCCTCATATCTCAGCTCTAAGTCTGTCCTCATATCTCAGCTCTAAGTCTGTCCTCATATCTCAGCTCTAAGTCTGTCCTCATATCTCAGCTCTAAGTCTGTCCTCATATCTCAGCTCTAAGTCAGTTCTCATATCTCAGCTCTAAGTCTGTCCTCATATCTCAGCTCTAAGTCTGTCCTCATATCTCAGCTCTAAGTCTGTCCTCATATCTCAGCTCTAAGTCTGTCCTCATATCTCAGCTCTAAGTCTGTCCTCATATCTCAGCTCTAAGTCTGTCCTCATATCTCAGCTCTAAGTCTGTCCTCATATCTCAGCTCTAAGTCTGTCCTCATATCTCAGCTCTAAGTCTGTCCTCATATCTCAGCTCTAAGTCTGTCCTCATATCTCAGCTCTAAGTCTGTCCTCATATCCCAGCTCTAAGTCTGTCTTCATATCTCAGCTCCTAGCACTATCAGTCACCCGGCAGTCGCGAGGTCAACTTAGGGGTCATGCACCCGACGTGCGGGCGAGCGTGCAGGCAAGCGCGCGGTGACACCTAAATGTGTATACTCGTTTCAGCTTTCTCACCTTAATTCTCGTGCTACGTCGCTCGTTTTGTTATCATTGTGTTCGCAATTATATTCCCTACAGATGTGTATGAATATAATGTACAAAAGCCTGGAGTGCCTCCCCGCAGGAAGCCTAAAGTTACCCGTGAACGAGCACCAATTTGTGCACTGCGACCTAATGTGTATACTCGTTCAGTTTGATAACATCAATTTTCGTGTTACGTCTTTCATTTGGTATAAAATTGTTCGCAATAAAAAGGCGCGTATTTCAAAACTAGTTCCATAATAATAGAGCACTAACTGGAATTTTAACAAATATTTTAATTCTAGAGGCCCATCAACCCAAATTTTTGTTGTATCTTTCCAGTGTTCTGACATAAAGTTTTGTGTTACATCTTTCATTTTGGTATCATATTGTTCGCGACGTAAAGGCGCGCATTTTAAAACTAGTCCCAACATAATAGCACAATAAATAGAATTTTGACAAATATTTTAAAATTTTGACCAAAAGCCTATTTATAATCATATAAGTGTTCGGACATCAAGTTTCATGTTACATTTTTTATTTTGGTGTCAAATTGTGCGCATTCTAAAGGCGCATGTTTTGATACTATCCCGAGGTCGAGTGGATAAAAAGTGAATTTTATACAAATATTTTTTGTAGTGGACGCAAGTCCTGTCCAAAGTTACCGATAGTGTTCTGTCCTCCTAACCAAGCTCTTAGTCTATCCTTATATCCCAGCTCTTAGTCTATCCTTATATCCCAGCTCTTAGTCTGTCCTCATATCCCAGCTCTTAGTCTGTCCTCATATCCCAGCTCTTAGTCTGTCCTCATATCCCAGCTCTTAGTCTGTCCTCATATCCCAGCTCTTAGTCTGTCCTCATATCCCAGCTCTTTGTCTGGAAAAGGGTGGCAACTACTAGGGTGCTACCCGAGTAGTTGCCACCCAGTGTTTCTTCCCCAGTGGGCACAATCAGTGTAGCTACCCCTGTAGGAACAATCAGTGTAGCTACCCTTGTAGGAACAATCAGTGTAGCTACCCTTGTAGGAACAATCAGTGTAGCTACCCTTGTAGGAACAATCAGAGTAGCTACCCCTGTAGGAACAATCAGTGTAGCTACCCCTGTAGGAACAATCAGTGTAGCTACCCTTGTAGGAACAATCAGTGTAGCTACCCCTGTAGGAACAATCAGTGTAGCTACCCTTGTAGGAACAATCAGTGTAGCTACCCCTGTAGGAACAATCAGTGTAGCTACCCTTGTAGGAACAATCAGTGTAGCTACCCCTGTAGGAACAATCAGTGTAGCTACCCCTGTAGGAACAATCAGTGTAGCTACCCCTGTAGGAACAATCAGTGTAGCTACCCCTGTAGGAACAATCAGTGTAGCTACCCTTGTAGGAACAATCAGAGTAGCTACCCCTGTAGGAACAATCAGAGTAGCTACCCCTGTAGGAACAATCAGTGTAGCTACCCTTGTAGGAACAATCAGAGTAGCTACCCCTGTAGGAACAATCAGTGTAGCTACCCCTGTAGGAACAATCAGAGTAGCTACCCTTGTAGGAACAATCAGTGTAGCTACCCTTGTAGGAACAATCAGAGTAGCTACCCCTGTAGGAACAATCAGTGTAGCTACCCCTGTAGGAACAATCATTGTAGCTACCCCTGTAGGAACAATCATTGTAGCTACCCCTGTAGGAACAATCAAGGTTGTTACACCAGTAGGAACAATCACTGTTTCTACCCCAGTAGGAACAATCAGTGTTACTAATCCCTTTAGGATCAGTCAGTGTTACTTATCACAGTAGGAACAATCACTGTTGGTACCCTTTCTAGGAACAATTAGAGTAGCCGGACCAATGCGAAGGAGATAATCATTGTAGCCAGCCCAGTAGGAAGTGAACAATCATTGTAGCCAGCCCAGTAGGAAGTGAACAATCATTGTAGCCAGCCCAGTAGGAAGTGAACAATCATTGTAGCCAGCCCAGTAGGAAGTGAACAATCAGTGTAGCCAGCCCAGTAGGAAGTGAACAATCATTGTAGCCAGCCCAGTAGGAAGTGTACAATCATTGTAGCCAGTCCAGTAGGAAGTGTACAATCATTGTAGCCAGCCCAGTAGGAAGTGAACAATCAGTGTAGCCAGCCCAGTAGGAAGTGAACAATCATTGTAGCCAGCCCAGTAGGAAGTGTACAATCATTGTAGCCAGCCCAGTAGGAAGTGTACAATCATTGTAGCCAGCCCAGTAGGAAGTGTACAATCATTGTAGCCAGCCCAGTAGGAAGGGAACAATCAATGTAGCCAGCCCAGTAGGAAGTGTACAATCATTGTAGCCAGCCCAGTAGGAAGTGTACAATCATTGTAGCCAGCCCAGTAGGAAGTGAACAATCATTGTAGCCAGCCCAGTAGGAAGTGTACAATCATTGTAGCCAGCCCAGTAGGAAGTGTACAATCATTGTAGCCAGCCCAGTAGGAAGTGTACAATCATTGTGGCCAGCCCAGTAGGAAGTGAACAATCATTGTAGCCAGCCCAGTAGGAAGGGAACAATCAATGTAGCCAGCCCAGTAGGAAGTGTACAATCATTGTAACCAGCCCAGTAGGAAGTGAACAATCAATGTAGCCAGCCCAGTAGGAAGTGAACAATCATTGTAGCCAGCCCAGTAGGAAGGGAACAATCAATGTAGCCAGCCCAGTAGGAAGTGTACAATCATTGTAGCCAGCCCAGTAGGAAGGGAACAATCAATGTAGCCAGCCCAGTAGGAAGTGTACAATCAGTGTCGCCAGCCCAGTAGGAAGTGAACAATCATTGTAGCCAGCCCACTAGGAAGGGAACAATCAATGTAGCCAGCCCCAGTAGGAAAGGAACAATCAGTGTAGCCAGCCCCAGTAAAAAAGGAACAATCAGTGTAGCCAGCCCCAGTAAAAAAGGAACAATCAGTGTAGCCAGGCCAATAGGAAATGAACAATCAGTGTAGGGAGGGCAGGAGGAACAATCAGTGTAGGGAGGGCAGGAGGAACAATCAGTATAGGGATGGCAAGAGGAACAATCAGTGTAGGGAGGGCAGGAGGAACAATCAGTGTAGGGAGGGCAGGAGGAACAATCAGTGTAGGGAGGCCAGGAGGAACAATCAGTATAGGGAGGGCAGGAGGAACAATCAGTGTAGGGAGGGCAGGAGGAACAATCAGTGTAGGGAGGGCAGGAGGAACAATCAGTGTAGGGAGGTCAGGAGGAACAATCAGTGTAGGGAGGGCAGGAGGAACAATATTGGCAGTGTTGCCAGCACTTCATTCCCACATTGTTTACAGGCGAGTGTTGCCAGAGGTGGCTCCCGGGTACCTGCGACCACTGTTGCCACCACGGGCTCCTGACACCCCTGACGAGTGGAGCGATGTTATGGCTGATATAGAGAGGGTCATCATGCCTGGGGTATGTGGTGTCACTGCTTCTGGTACTATACTAGTTAGTTTAACTGGTTTATAATCAGTGTCCGTGGTGTAGTGGTAAGACACTTGCCTGGCGTTCCGCGAGCGCTTTGTCATGGGTTCGTATCCTGGCCGGGGAGGATTTACTGGGCGCAAATCCTTAACTGTAGCCTCTGTTTAACTCAACAGTAAAATGGGTACTTGGATGAAAAAACGATTCTTCGCGGCGGGGATCGTATTCCAGGGAACTGCCCGAAACGCTACGCGTACTAGTGGCTGTACAAGAATGTAACAACTCTTGTATATATCTCAAAAAAAAAAAAAAAAAAAAAAAAAAAAAAAAAAAAAAAAATAATGGACCCCATAGTTATGGTGTGGGAGGCGAAAAACGGCCACACTTGCATAATAGGGGCAGAAACTAGGACCTAATGTTCTGTAGATGAGACAATTTAAATGTAATGGACTAGTTACAGTTTTAAATTTCAATTTCTTTCTTTCTTTATTATGCACCCCATACCCATCTCGTGGACGGTGGTGTAAAGGATTACAGAGGCACATAATCGGTTCAGGAACTGAACCCTCTAGTTAGTTTAGCTAAGCAAATAACAATCTTTTGACGCTAGTTACAAAATTATTAATGTTATATAAACATGTACACATACTCATGCATACATGTACATATACATACGTATACATATATACATACACATGCATTTTAATCACCCACATAAATACACACATCAATAATCTTTTGTGTCACAAGTGATTCAACAAGAAGATCACAACAGTCGCTATACAAGGCACTAAATGGAGTAACTGGTGTGAATTTCACTTTGCCTCAAGTCTCCGAAATTTAGTTGGTGTTCCCGGAATATTACTGCCCTCAGGCTGCTCAAAGGCACTCCAAGTTGGTAATCAATTCCCTCTTTACTAGCAAAAGTCACAGTTTTAAAGTGGCTCAATAGTGGGACTTAACTACATTACTGCAGGTAACGGTATGGTACATGCTCAGCAGATAAGCCAGTAAGACATTACAGTAACTATGGTAAAGTATAGGAAAAGTGTTCATTTACCCCTCAAATCCATGGAATGTGCAAAGTGGCAACACTGCATTTGTTGTTGTGGCAGTAGTGGGTTAGATTATGAATAACTCGGTGGTTGTAAAGACGAGTCTCATGGGCCAAAACCACCCCCACACACACACACCGGTTTATATAATCCACACTGCTATCAAAAGGAATGTAGAGTAGAGCAGTGAATATAAATAAATTCATGTTGATTAATGAAAAAGGGAGATGACTCCATTTTTGTTTTTAAGAGTTTATTGCCCTTTAATTTAAACAATATAATGTGTGATCCAAGTGGTTGTTATTGCCAGGGGGAAGGGTTGTAGAGATAAGCTCCCACAGCCTGTAAAGTGCCCCTGATGGCATATGCGTCTCAAATAGCCTCTGACAACCAAGTCCAGCTCCTGGCCTGCACTTGTGGCTTAGCCTCTAGGCCCGACAAAACTCCTTCTACCAACAGAAGGGGCGAAGGCGGGCCTCTGGCGCCTTAAAACCAGTTGCTTTGGGCAGATGGGATTCGTTAGCCTGGGAAGGCAGCTCATCTAGGGGAAGGAAAACCCCGAATTCAAACCTCTGCTGTCTTTCAGCTAAACACACTCATCGGAAAGGCTTCGGGAGTCAACCCTAAGGAAAAATCCAGAGTCAGAGTCCCTAAGGCAATTTGCAGCTGTTTACAGCTACATTCTGGCAACTCCTGCGACGACACTGGTGCCAAGAGTATCGGCGCCTGCCCTTCCCTTGGATCACATCGGTGGCGTGGAGAGGGTGGATCTGCTGTATGGGCAACAGCCGGTTCTCCATAATTACTGCCCAGGCCTGTGCCCTGGAGAGGTCACTCCAGCATCGCCTTGGCGATGGCTCAACACGGAAAACGATAGCTACCGGTGATAAGCCTACCACTCAATTGGTGTAGAGTAAGGCGCCAGGGGTTGCTTCCGTTGGTGGGAGAAATCATCCGATTTCATACAACAGCTACTGCCTGCCTCAAGCTGGGCAGCCCCCAGTCAATAAGATCAATAAGATGCTATCCCGCCATGGTCCGCCTTCTCCACTGGGAGCGTGGGGCTTAGGCCACAATCCAATAAGCGGATCGTCAACCCATGCACCAAGCAAAAGAATACAAACACAGAGCCACCCAGCTCTCAAACTGGGAACATGGAATGTAAGGACCATGACACCGGGTCTCTCGGAAGATGTACTGGAAGTGAACGACGCCCGCAAGACAGCTGTGATCGACAATGAACTACGCAGGCTCCGGATGGACATAGTCGCCCTGCAGGAGACACATCTGCCCACGACTGGCAGCATACAGGAAAAGGACTTTACTTTTTTTCTGGCAGGGCAAACCTCCAGAAGAGGTAAGGGAGCATGGCATTAGCTTTACCATCAGGAACAGGTTGTTAGGGTCCATAGTACTGCCCACAGAGGGGTCTGCAGGATCATCACACTTCAGGTTCATACAGCAGCAGGAATGGTTAGCCTCATCAACGCCTATGCACCAACACTGACCTCTACCGAAGCAAAGGATGAGTTCTATGATGACCTCGGCCTAACTCTCAGAGACATACCTCAACAAGAGCCAGTCTTCCTCCTGGGAGACTTTAATGTAGGAGTTGGTTCTAATCACAGCTCTTGGCCTTCCTGCCTGGGCCAGTTTGGATTTGGGAAGATGAATGAGAGTGGGCAGCGCCTCCTGGAGTTCTGCTGTTGTCATGATCTCTGCATCACCAATTCGTTCTTCGACACCAAGCTCCAGTATAAATTTTCCTGGAGACATCCCAGGTCTAAACATTGGCACCAACTCGACCTGGTACTTATGGGGCGTAGCAATCTGAGAAACGTCAAACTGACCCGCAGCTTCCACAGCACAGATTGTGACACCGACCGCTCTCTCGTCGTTTGCAGAGTAAAGTTGTAGCCCCGGAAAATCCACAGAGCAAAGAAGGAGAGAAGACCACGCATTAACGTAAACAAGACCCATGACCTTCACAAGATGGAGGATTTCACTGGTACGCTGGTAAATGCCCTTCCTGTACCACCCTGCTATAGCGCAAGTGAGAGGTAGTTACATCTCAGGGGCGTTGGTTTCAACACAGCCATATCCACTTTCGGTAAGAGGCAGAACAAGTCAGCAGATTGGTTCGAGGCCAGTGCAGATGAACTGTTACCCCTCATAGAGGAAAAGAGACGAGCTCTCTCATCCTACAAGAACCTTCCTTCAGAAAGGAACCTACAGACCCTCCGTACTGCCCGCAGTTGAGTTCAACAAACTGCGAGGCGCTGTGCTAACGATTACTGGCTTCGACTTTGTTCTAGCATGCAAACTGCAGCCACTGTCGGCAACATAAGAGGCATGTACGAAGGGATCAAACAGGCAACAGGCCCTACACAAAACAGGACGGCTCCTCTGAAGTCAGCCACTGGGAGAGATCATTAAAGACTGTTATCAACAGATGAATCGCTGAGTGGAACATTACTCCCAACTCTACTCCAGAGAGAACGTGGTCAGCGTAGAGGCTTTGGATGCAATCGAGTGCCTGCCCATCATGGATGAACTTGATCTTGAAACGACTGTGGAAGAAGATGAGAAAACAGTGGATTCACTTTCCTCAGGGAAGGCCCCAGGAGACGACATGAATCTGCCTGAAGTTCTCAAGTGCGCTCGTGGAACACTTAAAACTGAGCTTCATGAACTTCTGTGCCAGTGCTTTAGGGAGGGCTCGGTGCCACAAGACACGAGAGATGCAAACATCAACACTCTCTACAAAAATAAAGGTGACAGAAGCATGTCAACAACTATCGCGGCATCTCCCTCCTCAGCGTCGTCGGCAAACTCTTCGCCAGGGTCGTCTTGGTTAGGCTTCACATTCTTGCTGAAAGAGTGTACCCTGAGTCAAAGTGTGGCTTCCGAGCAGAGATGTCGACCACTGACATGGTGTTCTCCCTGAGACAGCTTCAAGAAAAGTGCAGGGAGCTGAGAAAAGTGTTGTACATCTCTTTCATTGACCTTACAATGGCCTTTGACCTCGTGAGCAGGAACGGACTCTTCAAGATCTTGGCCAAAATTGCTGCCCACCCACCCTACTCAGCATGATACAATCGTTCCACAAGGACATGAAGGGAACAGTTGTGTACGACAGCTCAACTCTGAACCATTCAACATTAACAGTGGTGTTAAATAGGGGTGCGTTCTTGCTCCAACCCTGTCCGGCATCTTTTTCGCGATCTTCATCAGGCATGCCTTTGGAACAACCACAGAGGGCATCTCTGTGGTTGTACATCTCTGTGGTAGTGGTTGTACTGTGGCTATCTCTGTACAAGATCTGATGGAAAGCTCTATAATCTATCCAGACTCCGAGCAAAGACGAAAGTACAGATCCGAATCCTCAGGGAGTTCCTCTTTGCCGACGACGCAGCGATCACCACACACACACAGAAGAAGGCCTGCAACAGCTACTCAACTGCTTTGCCGCAGCCTGTTCCGCATTCTTCCTGACAATCAGCCTGAAGAAGACACAGGTGATGGGACAAGACGCCAATGAGCTACCCTGCATAAACAAAGCAGACTGTGTGCTGGAGGCAGTTCACGAGTTTGTGTACCTGGGCTCCACAATGTCATACATCCTTTCCCTGGACACTGAGCTCAACAGGTGTATTGGGAAGGCCGCGACAACACTGGCCAGGCTCACAAAGCACGTTTGAGAAAATGCCAAACTGACAGTGCACACCAAGGCACACCAAGTCAAAATGGCATGTGTGGTGAGTACACTTCTTTACGGCTCGGTATCCTCGACCCTGCGCTCTCGCCAGGAGAGACGGCTCAATACCTTTCACATGCGGAACCTGAGACGCATCCTTGACATCACGTGGAAAGACCACGTCACCAAAAACACAGTACTTGAGAGAACAGGAGTCACTCCAATGTTTACTCTCGTGA